GTGTGTGTGTTTTTCCTAGGCATTCCAAGCTCATGGCGTATCATGCCAGGTGAGGAAGAATTTTACGATGGTGAAGGTTATCCTGAAGGCAATCAAGATGAAGTGTTGGAGCTGTAGTTCACTTGAAGACTTAGACTAGTAGTTTTTTTTTCTTTGACTTTTGGTGTGACAGTGTTTTGTAATCCTATTGTGGAACAAAAATGAATTAACTATGCTATTGACTCTGCTTATATGTGTATAGTAAAATATTTTGGTTATCTATCATGTTTGAGTTGTATTTTGTACATTTTTTTTACGGTCTCGAATTTTGGGGCGTGACACCTCAAATTTCCTTGTCTTTTTATAATCAGTGTCTAGCATATGGGGTGCGTATCGGGCTAGTTCAGTAAATTTTGCCTCATATTTAGCCACACTCGTGTCACCTTGCGTAAGTTGTTCAAACTCGAATACTTTCCTATCTCGGATGCATTGGGAAAAATATTGTTCATAGAAAAGTTCTTTGAATCTGTCGCATGTCATACTTTTACTATCATTTCGTACAAACATCCACCATCTCCTAAATTCTTCTTTAAGTGTGAATGTTACCAACAAAACTTTTTGTACCTCAGTAGACGAAAATATTTCAAATATTTCTTAGTTTCTAAAACCCAAGCCTCGGCTTTAATTGGTTCAATACCCCCCAGAAATTCCGATGGCTTCATCTAATTATATTTTTGTATCAAAGTTATCATATCATTATTCATTGGTTCAAGTTGTACCGAGGACGGCAGAGGAGGTAGGGGTGGTTGTCTTTGTTGCTGTTGTCTCATAGATTCGGTTAAGGCTTCAACCATTCTTTTTAGTCGATTAATTCTAGCATCAGAAGATTCATATTCATCTACGTTTCTTATTCCTTCCATTCGTCTATATGTAAGCAGAGACAATAGTAAACATAGGCAAATAGTTCTTACAGATCACATAACTTGCATGTTCATATCAGTTTCAAATTCAATATCGAAATCAAATTACTCATTCTTATACATAACTTCTTTGTTCATGCTTATAGTTTTCATTTTCATTTTAGATATGTTCGTAATATTCCACACACACTCACACATGTCAATGCAATGTCTCTATTTCTTTTCTAGGATATCCTATAGCTCATATGGGAGCATGTGTGCAGTATAACTCATGCTCTAATACTACTCTATCACGACCCAAACCTGCCCCCTATAGGTTTAGCATCATGACCGGCCAGTAATCCCAATATTACCGAAGGCCTTTTAACAGATTGACAAAATAAGGGGGTTGGTAGAAGCAAATACATAAATATTTATTGTCCAATGAGCTATGTTGACTTATATGAGACAGAAAACTTTAAATATTTACATACATGTATCATAACATCATTATTAAGTCATCACACTCTACAGATAAGCCAAAAAGGGATTATACCCAGTATACAAAAACTTGTCTTAATAGTTAACATCTTTAACAAAAGAAAACAAAGGCTTAAGCCTTAATCACAGAACCATGATCACTTGACAGTTTTGGAACCTTCACATGAGGCACTTAGGTTGGCTGACAAAACAAAGGTCCAGACAGGTGCCATTAGGCTCGGTCTTTATAGCGACCCCGGTCTTCTCCCATTTGATTATTGTATCCGGACTTAGGTTCCGTAGATTCTGTCATTGTATAATTGTTGTTGTTGTCCCTTATTTTCTCATTTGGACTTATAGGATGTGTTGGGCAGGTTTGTGGTATGGATTGGTTATCTACCAATCGAGCGGTAATTGATTGCTACCAAAAGAGGGTGATGACTTACACATCAGAGGTGTTTCCAATTTAAGAGGGATAGAGAGGAGTCTCTGAGCACGACAAATTGTAAGATACATATCTTCCGCGTGTAGTTTGTGAATACGCTGATGGTTTTCTCGAGGAATTGCCAAGATTACCGCCACATAGTGATGTAGATTTTAGATTTTAGTATCGAATTACAAGCGGGTACTGCATCAATATCTATGAGACCCCACCGTATGGCTCCTGCCAAACTTCGCGAATTGAAGATGCAACTACAAGAATTGCTGGAAAAAAACTTGTCCGACCAAGTACCATAGCGTAAGGAGCACCGATTCTCTTTGCAAAGAAAAATGATGAAGCACTGAGATTGTGCATTGATTATCTACAACTCAATCGGGTGATGATCAAGAACCGATTCGAGGTTCAAAGTGTTATTCAAAGATCGATCTTAGATCTAGCTATCACTAATTGCGGGTCACGGATGTTGATATACCAAAGACTGCTTTTCGAACTTGATATGGCCACTACAAAATGCATCGGTCATGTTCATGAGCTTGATGAATAAGATTTTTACTTCGTACTTGGACTAGTTCGTGGTGGTTTTTATTGATGACATTCTAGTCTATTCATCGGCTGCAGAAGAACATGAGTAACACTTGAGAGTGGTTCTCCAAGTTTTAAGAGACAACCAGCTGTACGCGAAAGCAAGTAAATGTGAGTTCTGGTTGAAGGAAGTCAAATTTTTGGGACACGTTGTGTCTGAGCATGAGATTGCAGTAGACCCGGCCAAGGTAGAAGCAGTATTAGATTGGAAGCAGCCAATCTCAATATTTGAAGATCGCAGTTTCTTAGGGTTGGCCGGCTATTATCGACGATTTATTCAAGACTTTTCCAAACTAGCCTAGCCGATGACTCGTCTAACGCAAAAGGGGTAAAATATGATTGGGATGAAGCATGTGAACGATCCTTTCAAGAACTCAAGAGGAGATTGACTACTGCCCAATACTCATCATTTCGGAGCGAGACGAAGGATATACAATGTATTGCGATGCATCTAAGGATGAGCTAGACTGTGTGCTAATGCAAAATGGAAAGGTGGTGGCTTACGACTCCACATAACTGAAACTGCATGAAAGGAATTATCCGACACACGATCTAGAGTTGGCAGCAATGGTTTTTGCGTTAAAGCAATGGCATCATTATTTGTGTGGTGAACAATTTGAGATTTTCATGGACCATAAGCGCTTGAAGTATTTGTTCACGCAGAAGGACTTGAACATGAGACAAAGACGGTGGATGGAATATCTCAAAGATTACCATTTTACTCTATCTTATCATCTTGGCAAAGCTAATGTGGTGGCAAATGCCCTAAGTCGCAAGAACCGGGGGATTATTGCTAGCCTGGTACTCAAGAAATAGAACATGGTCGGAAAACTTAATAAGTTCGGAGTACATATGAAAGCTTAGGACGAGAAGGTATACCTTAGTGCTCAAGCCGCTACGACCAAATTACTGAACGAGGTAATGGAGTCATAGAAGTATGATTACGATGTGGCGTTTATAAAAGCGTGAATAGCATCCGACGATCCTATACTTGATTGGATAATTCACTCAAATGGAAGTTTGAGATATCAAGGCAGTGTGTTTGTGCCATAAGATGAGTCGTTTAGAGAAAAAAAATTCTAAAAAATTTATATCATTCGGTGTTTGCAGTGCACCTAGGAGAAAGGAAAGTGTACCGAGACTTAAAATACCAATACTAGTGGAACAGAATAAAGAAAGATGTGGCTCAATTCATAGCCAGATGCCTTACGTGTCAGCAAGTAAAGGCAGAACACCAGTGAGCTAGAGAGATGCTTCAGCCTTTGTCGATATCAGAATGGACATGGGAGCATATAATAATGGACTTCATCACCGGATTACCCAGGTCACCTAGGGGACACGATGTTTTATGGCTCATAGTCAATCATTTGACGAAAACTGCACACTTGTTGCCATATAAAATGTCAAACACTTTGACATTGCTGAGCTATCTCTACATGAAACAAATTGTCAGACTACACGAAATTTCGTATCAATTGTGTTAGACCGGGACCCACATTTAAGCTCCCAATCATGAGGAAGCTTACAAGAAGCATTGGGGATCGAATTATGCTTTAGTACCATTTTTCATCCTCAAACTGACGGACAGACGGAACACACCATTTAGACTTTGGAGGACATGTTGAAAGCTTGTGTGATGGATTTCAAAGGGAGCTGGGAGCGACACCTACCGTTGGTGAAGTTCTCGTATAACAACAATTTCCAGGCCAGCATTGGCATGGCTCCATTCGAAGCGCTGTACGGTCGACCCTGCAGATCACCAGTTTGTTAGATTGAAGTTGGAGAAGCAAGGTTAATAGGCCTAAAGATCGTGTAAGAAACTACAGAAAAAATGAAACTTATTCGACAAAGATTGGTGGCAACTTAAGATTGTTAGAAGAGTTATGTTGATAAAAGGAAGAGATCTCTAACTTTCACTATCAATGATCATGTTTTCTTGGGAGTTCAGCCCCGCCAAGGGGGCATTCGTTTTTGAAAGAAAGAGAAATTATCACCTTGATATATCAGATCCTTCGTGATACTTCAGAAAGTTGAAGAGGTAGTGTACAAATTGGCTTTACCCTCACCATTGGCTGGAGTACACGATATTTTCCATGTGTCTATATTGCAAAAGTACGTAATGCACCTTTCTCATATCATCAACTGCGAAGAAATCTGACTTGACGAAGATGCTACTTTTGAGAAAGGACCAATAACAATTGTGGACAGACAAGAAAAAAACTTATGAGGAAAGACAACTCAACTTCTTAAGATATACTGACATCATCACGGCATCGAGAAGTTCACGTGGGAACGTGACGACGTGATGCAAGCAAATTATGCATAGCTATTTGAGACATGAGGTACGATTTAATTTCGAGGACAAAATTTATTTAAGGGGATAGGTCGTAGAGACCCTAATTTTTTGTAATTACACTTGAAGCCCTAAGCCTTAGGTTAATTGCATTTTAGTCCTTAATTTCATAAAATTTTACAAAAATATTAGCCATTAAGGAACAATAATTGATTAAGGATAAAATTGTCTTTTCAACCTATATCCCTTGCTTATAAATTGAGAACATTTTCCCATTCCCAACACATATTTTCAGCAGCCAATGAGAGAGTGAGAGGAGGAGATTGTGAACTACAAGAAAGTGAAGAAGAAGAAAGAAGAAAAGTTGTATTCTTGAGTTAATGTAAGAACCACGCCTCTCTCTTGTCTTCTCCAATTCTTTTACCCATCTCATTCTATTGTCGAGTATGCTCTCTTGTGTTATATATTAATGGTAAGTAGGGTTTTTGGTGTATATGCAAGTGTGGGTATGAATTGGTGACATTGTCTTGCAATTTTGTTCAAAATATGTACTGCTGCAACTTCTCTATGTTAAAAGAAATATCAAATTTATTTATTTATCAAATCTGAATTTAATATAGAATAGTTGGTGTGTTTAGAGCTTATAATAATTTTATTAGCCCCTCATTGTGTATTTTTAGGGCTTGGATATTTTGTTTAAAAATCTGGTCCTAAGACTCTGAAAAACAGTCCACTTCTTGCAATTTTATAAAATTTCAGAAAAATCATCTCATGTTGGTTCTTCTGTCAAAATTTAGAATTTTGAGTCCTCTTTCCAACATAATTTATTTAGGTGAAAATCTTCGAGTAGGTTGAGAGGAAAGCTAGTTTTCCCAAAGGGTGACAAATCTGGACAGGTTTTCGAACCGAGCTAGTAGATGAATTTCTGGCTATGCTGTGCAAATTTTGAAAATTGGAACTGAAAATAGACATGTTGTTTATTGTTTCTGTGCAATTTCAACCCCTAATATGACCTGGAAGTATTTTTCCCAAAGCATTCTTTTTAACTCTGCAGTTCTGAAAAGTGCTAGAAATTGTGTCTTATTGTGTTATTTGTCTCTAAGTATTTCAAAGCATGCCCAATGTTGTTTGTTTGCTTTACCATGTTTATGTATGATTATCATGGGCTATATTTCCTCTCTTATGTTGTCTCATGCTCTTTTATATTACCGAATGTGATGAACTTACTTATCAAAAGATCTAATAAACGGGAAATGATAAGGGGTTGGCAATGGGTGACGTTCACACTAGTGTTTCGGAATAATTTATACATATGAATAACATAAATTATGATGAGATTAATACCAAATAAGTTAAGTCTTGCACAAGCGGTCTAAACGAACCCCTAGGATGACACAGATGTATTCAGACTCTATGCGGTGATTTCAGGGTGTAAGCGAGGCCTTTGGTATGTGTAGGATGTAAACGAGCCCTAGGCACGATTTGGTATGATATGTGCAGGGTCTAAGCAACCCTAGGCACGATTTGGGTGTAAGCGAGCTCACTTGTTTGGCTGTCACTTTTGAAGTCCATTAGTGTCACTGGCCGGTAAATAATCGAGAGGTGGGCATAGGTGGTAAGGTCTGTAAAGCAGCAAAAGGGGAGTTCTGAATAGTCCGATGTCCAATCCTTATGGTTGGGTAGAAGCATATCTTTGGGGGATTCTAGATATCTAGCCTAACTACTAATTCACAGAACCTTATTGTAGTATTGTATGTTATGTTACCCGATTTGTTCTGTGTATGATTGATTGGTTGATAGAAGATATGGGAGTGTGTGTATTTTTATTGGGCATTTCAAGCTCATGACGTGTCATGCCAGGTGAGGAAGCAGTTTAAGATGGTGAAGGTTATCCCAAAGGCAATTAAGGTGAAGTGTTGGAGCCGTGGTTCACTTGAAGACTTAGACTACTAGTTGTTTTTTCTATGACTTTTGGCGTGACAATATTTTGTAATCCTATTGCGGAACACAAATGAATTAACTATGCTATTAACTCTTCTTATATGTGTATATTAAAATGTTTTGGTCATCTATTCTGTTTGAGTTGCATTTTACATTTTTTTTTTTTACAGTCATGAATTTTGGGGTGTGACAAATTTTCTTCTTCTTCTTGGGTTCTGCGGAAGGCAAGTTCAACCCCATTCCACCATTGTGGCTGATCTTGAAATTGTAATATAAGGCCTCGTTTGGCAAGTGGCTTTTTTAGCCAAAAAGTTAAAAAGTTACTAAAAAATCCAAAAAGTCAACAACCTATACCAAAAAGTCAAAGATTTTATTTTCTCTTTACTTTTTGCACTTCTTTTCATAAAAAGTCAAAAAGTCATCCCAAATATACTAGTTTTTTTTACATCATATTTTAACTAAAAAGCCAAAAAGTTACTAAAACAGCATGTTCTCAAACGAGGCCTAAGAAGCAATTTGTATATCTGGCCTTATGGTGAACATAGATAGCAATTTGGTATGCTATATTGATCTGGCCTTGCCTTTGACTAAAATTATCAGAGTTCTTGTAGCTCGGCTTAGCACTGCTTGCACCAGCAGGTAATGCAACAGAAGGGACTGCTTAACAGCTTTGCTCAATACAGCACACATCCCCTAGTCCATGAAATTCTGTCATTTTCATTTGTTTCAAAGAAATAAATTGATCATCACCAGTAATCATTGCACGAGCAAGCCCCTCCTTTGAAATGATGAAACCTGTTAGAATCCCTCAACACTATTTCTCTCCCTGTTGCTATTGATATGTACTTCATAGCAGTGTGGCAATCTCCACAGACGCGAAGATTCTTAAATACTCTGATGGGTTTCGATTTGGATGTACTTATAAGACCAAATGCCACAGCAATTTTCTCGCTGTGTTGGAACAAATATTGTTCCTTTTGTTTCTCCTCCACATCATGAAGAACAAAGTTTGTATTAGGGACATAACCCAACTCCTTTATCTTGAGAGACAGCTGATCTAGTTCTTCATATATTTCTCGTGCTTGCGGATGAGAAGTATCCCCTACATGGAAGTTGTACACCCTATTTTCTGTCTCTATCCAGCTACAGCCTGCTTCCTTTACCAAATTTCTCTCTTTCATGTTTTTTCTGTCGAGTAGGTTGAGAGGAAAGCTAGTTTTCCCAAAGGGTGACAAATCTGGACAGGTTTTCGAACCGAGCTAGTAGATGAATTTCTGGCTATGCTGTGCAAATTTTGAAAATTGGAACTGAAAATAGACATGTTGTTTATTGTTTCTGTGCAATTTCAACCCCTAATATGACCTGGAAGTATTTTTCCCAAAGCATTCTTTTTAACTCTGCAGTTCTGAAAGTATTATGTTATTTGTTTCTAAGTACTTCAAAACATGCTTAATGTTGTTTGTTTGCTTTACCATACTTATGTATGATTATCATGGGCTATATTTCCTCTCTTATGTTGTCTCATGCTCTTTTATATGACCAAATGTGACTAACTTATTTATCAAAAGATCCAATAAATGGGAAATGATAAGGGGTTGGAAATGGGTGACATTCACATTAGTGTTTCGAAATAATTTATACATATGAATGACATGAATTATGATGGGATTAATACCAAATGAGTTAAGTCTTGCGCAAGCGGTCTAAGTGAACCCCTAGGTTGAGATGGATGTATTCGGACTCTATGCGGTGGTTTCAGGGTGTAAGCAAGCCCTTTGGTATGGTATGTGTAGGGTGTAAGCGAGCCCTAGGCACAATTTGGGTGTAGGCGAGCCCACTTGTTTGGTCGTCCCTTTTGAGGTCCATCAATGTCGCTTATCGGTAAATAACCGGGAGGTAGGCATAGGTTGTAAGGTTGGCAAAGTAGCAAAAGGGGGAGTTCTGAATAGTCCGGTGTTCAAACCTTATGATTGGGTAGAAAGATCTCTTTGGGGGATTCTAGATGTCTACTCTAATTACTACTTCAGAGAACCTTATTGTAATACTGTATTCTATGTTACCCGATTTCTTCTGTGTATGGTTGATTGGTTGATAAAAGGTAGGAGGGTGTGTGCGTTTTTACTGAGCATTCTAAGCTCATGGATTGTCATACCAGGTGGTGAAGCAGTTTACAATGGTAAAGGTTATTTCGAAGGCAAACAAGATGAAGTGTTGGAGCTGTGGTTCATTTGAAGACGTAAACTAGTTTTTTTTTTTTTTCTTTTGACTTTTGGTTTGACAGTGTTTTGTATACCTATAGCGGAATATGCTATTAACTCTGCTTATATGTGTATATTAAAATATTTTGGTTATTTATCCTATTTGAGTTGTATTTTGTACATTTTTTTTACGGTCTCGAATTTTGGGGCGTGACACCTCAAATTTCCTTGTCTTTTTATAATCAGTGTCTAGCATATGGGGTGCGTATCGGGCTAGTTCAGTAAATTTTGCCTCATATTTAGCCACACTCGTGTCACCTTGCGTAAGTTGTTCAAACTCGAATACTTTCCTATCTCGGATGCATTGGGAAAAATATTGTTCATAGAAAAGTTCTTTGAATCTGTCGCATGTCATACTTTTACTATCATTTCGTACAAACATCCACCATCTCCTAAATTCTTCTTTAAGTGTGAATGTTACCAACAAAACTTTTTGTACCTCAGTAGACGAAAATATTTCAAATATTTCTTAGTTTCTAAAACCCAAGCCTCGGCTTTAATTGGTTCAATACCCCCCAGAAATTCCGATGGCTTCATCTAATTATATTTTTGTATCAAAGTTATCATATCATTATTCATTGGTTCAAGTTGTACCGAGGACGGCAGAGGAGGTAGGGGTGGTTGTCTTTGTTGCTGTTGTCTCATAGATTCGGTTAAGGCTTCAACCATTCTTTTTAGTCGATTAATTCTAGCATCAGAAGATTCATATTCATCTACGTTTCTTATTCCTTCCATTCGTCTATATGTAAGCAGAGACAATAGTAAACATAGGCAAATAGTTCTTACAGATCACATAACTTGCATGTTCATATCAGTTTCAAATTCAATATCGAAATCAAATTACTCATTCTTATACATAACTTCTTTGTTCATGCTTATAGTTTTCATTTTCATTTTAGATATGTTCGTAATATTCCACACACACTCACACATGTCAATGCAATGTCTCTATTTCTTTTCTAGGATATCCTATAGCTCATATGGGAGCATGTGTGCAGTATAACTCATGCTCTAATACTACTCTATCATGACCCAAACCTGCCCCCTATAGGTTTAGCATCATGACCGGCCAGTAATCCCAATATTACCGAAGGCCTTTTAACAGATTGACAAAATAAGGGGGTTGGTAGAAGCAAATACATAAATATTTATTGTCCAATGAGCTATGTTGACTTATATGAGACAGAAAACTTTAAATATTTACATACATGTATCATAACATCATTATTAAGTCATCACACTCTACAGATAAGCCAAAAAGGGATTATACCCAGTATACAAAAACTTGTCTTAATAGTTAACATCTTTAACAAAAGAAAACAAAGGCTTAAGCCTTAATCACAGAACCATGATCACTTGACAGTTTTGGAACCTTCACATGAGGCACTTAGGTTGGCTGACAAAACAAAGGTCCAGACAGGTGCCATTAGGCTCGGTCTTTATAGCGACCCCGGTCTTCTCCCATTTGATTATTGTATCCGGACTTAGGTTCCGTAGATTCTGTCATTGTATAATTGTTGTTGTTGTCCCTTATTTTCTCATTTGGACTTATAGGATGTGTTGGGCAGGTTTGTGTCAGGTTGGTTGGGTTTAGAAACCAAGTGTTGCTGTCCAGAATTTTGGATCTTCGCTCGAGCGAGGAGTTTGTCGCTCGAGCGAGCTGTTATTTTTGGTTCTTCGCTCGAGCCGGGGTTTGGTAGCTCGAGCGAGAGGTTGCGTCTGATTTGGACCTGTAGCTGTGCATTCTTGGCTCAAGCGAGCTTTTCTTCGCTCGAGCGAGTTAGTTCGTTCTTCGCTCGAGCGATAGTTCCTTCGCTCGAGCGTGTGTCTGGTTACAGACCTGAGGGTTTGAGTTCTTCGCTCGATCGAGTTTCCTTTCGCTCGAGCGAGCTTTTGGGTTGTTGGCTCGAGCAAGGCTTCCTTGGCTCGAGCGTAGCTTCTCTGTGTCTGGTCGCTCGAGCGACCAAGTCTTCGCTCGAGCGAGCCTGTCCAGTTTATATACACAGCAGCGGGTTTTGATCAGTCTTTTTCATCTTCTTTTGATTCCAAACCCTAGGTCCGACTTCTCTCTCTCCCTACTCACCTTCTTTCTTAGATTTGATCTATTTAGAGGGTGTTTCTACCCTAGTTGCTTTATTAAAAATATAGAGGGAGTCGAGGGCTTTCATTTAATCTGAACATTTGGCGATTTGGAGCACATTGGTATTTGGGCACTCATCTCTGTCTTCACCATTTGGGTTGTTTTCTTCGAGGTAGGGATTTCCTACTCCATTTTATAGTTTTGTTCTAAGCTTTGGTATTTTGATATGTTGGGGATACTTTGGTAAATTTTGGGAAAAACCCTAGTTGTATTATTAAATTAATTTGTATAATTAATTCATGGAATTGGGAAAAGATGGTTAAATTCATGGAATTGGGGAATTCATTGATTAAATGGCGTAGTTGGATAATTTGAATCATTTGTCTATTGAATTGAAATGTGATGTCGAACATCATAAAAGACCTAAGTGAAACTCTTCCTTTCATCAATTGGTTTTATATAAGATGGTAGAGCTCAAGCTTACAAAAACAATTTTGGCCTTGTGAGAATACTCATGAATCCATTATTTCCTTGAACAAACTTCACTACTCTGTTCAGAGACATTATTTACACTCATGAAAAAATTACAACTCTAAGTTGTGGTAATTCAACAAAGTTTCTCCATGGGACAATTTACAGTCTTTCAAGAACTACATGCATTTGTCTATGTAAAAGCATCTTCAATGGTGTATCAATTTTTTCACTAAATTTGAGTAAAAGCTTCCTTTGATATCAAGTGCTCTAACGGAGGATTTTGGAGCTTCATTAGACCACCATTCGACCGGAAGGAC